GCCTACTATTATTAAAATTAAATTAAACGATTTAGAAATTTATATTATAGAATAATAGAAAATTTTGACTTACACACAACAAATTGTTGAACCCAAAATAATGCGTATTTGAAGGTGGAGTCGATATCACAAAATAAATAAATTTGTATGATTAATTCATAACTAGGATCAGTTTGAATTTGAATTTATAAATTGTGATTAGCAAAGGCGAAATAGAAAAACATAATATTGAAATAACTGCGACTCTGAAAAATGCTGTTGCAAAAATGTTTTAATATACCAGTGCTTAAAAGTTTCTAATACAAGTTAGGCTTAGATAAGGCTAAGTTTAGTTCACAATACTAGTTTATAGGATAGTTAGGTCAATACCATTTAACACGTTGTTTTGAATATGGCCTCAAATTTATCTTTATTGGCTTTATTGACAATATTATATTTTCGCATTTTTTTCTAACGATGAACACGGTTTAAAAAACTCTTTAGAAATTGAAGTATATATTACATTTTATTATTTGTTATATGTACAGTAAGTACAAGTTAAATTTCATCATATTCCTAAATATATTTGTGACTCCTAGAATCTAAAAGGTGGCTACAGTGCTTACGTTACTATGTTTATTGACAGAATAATGTTATGGTTATGTTTTCTTCAGAACTATATTTTTTGAAAGAAAGCTTAAAAGATACAAAACAAAATTCGTCTTATTAAATACTGTCACATAAGCTTAAAGTACGTTAATTTTTTTTTGTTTTACATCATTTCTAATAACGTTTATACACTTATTATTTTTAATTAATTTTGATTTGTTTTATAGGTTCCGTGTTAATTCTCCTTATAAGCATCTTTAAAGCATACAACAATTTTGCAGTAACAGTTTAACATACAAACTTGTATTAAACAATAAAGCTCTCAAATATCGTTTGTCATTTATATGCTGTTTGAGTATCTGAAGTGCTTATTTAGAGAGCTTCAAATTGGAAAATTTTATTAAAAAAAGATAAGGTAAAGTTATCTTCTATCAAATTTGGCTAGATCAAATTACGGTCTTGAAACTCATGAGCATATATTGTCATCTATAAACATCATCTCTGATATAGTCTTTGTTTTTATTAACGATGTCAATGGTTTAGATAGGAATCGATAGAGAATTTTTATTGCAGCGATACGGAAGTAAGGAAAACAGGTCAGAAACTTAAATTAGTTGGAGAAAAACCCGCTGTTATACAAAATTTTGTTGCAAATAAATTATAAGTGCGATATTGTTTGTTAATGTATAATGAAAATTGATGTACCTTCTTATAATGGAAAACGGTATTGTAAAAGTTTAGATTCTGTACAAAAAAAAATATTACCGTTATCAAAGATTTTCAAACGTTTGGTCCACCTAAGTACGACCTTACTTTCCTCCTCGTTGACAACATCGGGCCACTCTTTTCCTATATCCAAAATTATATCTCGAAGCTGATTTTTCTTAACGGTAAGAACTATCAAGTTCAAGCATACTGAAATTTCATATTTCAAATATGTCTGTTTGGTTTCATTAGTAGCTAAACAGGTGAGTTCTACTTTTATTAATACTCGATAGAACTGAGACAGACATTATCTTTTTTATATACTAATATATTCACAGATAAAGATTAAAAAAATATAAACGCTTTTTTACCTTGAATGGCTATCAAAACTGTTGGAATGGCGTTAACTACGTCCAAGAAGTTGGCACCAATCTTTTTAGCCTTTAAAACATATAGGACTTGACCAATTAACGTAGTTATAAGAATACTGCCAAGGAACATTATTCGAACGTTTCGTTTTATGAAATTACAATTACTTTCATCAAGAACGTCTATTCCGATAAATTTGAGTAAATTTAATTGTCGAATAATAGTACCGACAAATATAGGAGGCAGTTCGTCAAATCTCATTTTGTACGATAATATGCTTTGACCGTTCTGAGTATTGACCCATTGGTAAGTAGAAGTGAAAAAATTGGATTTTAACATTTTTATATATTATATATTTAGTGATATTATTTTGTGTAAGGTTAGCAAATAATTCAAAAGATACGTTTAATTTCAAAATTTGAGTTCCTTTTTCTATTGGTTAAGGGTATTCAATAGTTTATTAATTTTTGATATTTTTAAGAGTAAACTTTTTGTAGTTTTTCACCTGCAGGTTTATGATTTTTTAAGAGTACAATTGATCTTGTTTTGTGTTATATTGGTTTATATATAAATTTATTCAAGGAAATATGAATTTGCTAATCATTTCCCAGTATTTCGCAAAAAAATTCTTCGGATTTTTTTTAAGTACTGACTCTACTCGACATAAATGAAATTATCAGTTATTAAGGAACGACTTAACCATCAATTCAAAGTGCATGTAATTTTTGCCTGGGGTATGTATTATAAAAGGTATTGGTTTAAAGAAAATTATTGTAGAAATAAATTACTTCCTTTATGTCCTCTATTATTTATGGTAATAATTTTAGGAATTCGTTTTTTTATTAAGTAAGAGCAATAACGATCTTCAACAATACGATGATGATTTCGTTTTTGACTATATCTATAAAATATAAATATTTGTGTTCTTAAGTTGAAATTGGGCATTATGACACATTGTTTATCCAAGGTGTAGAGATCAAAAGGTATCCTTTTTTTTAAACGAGAAAATAAGAATAACTTCCCCTATTAGTTATAATATAAATAACCAAGAATTGTCGTCTTCTTCTACCTGGCAATTTCCCAGCTATAGCCGGGGTCTGCCTTATATGTTGTGAATAGTTTTTGGCTATTTATTTTTACGACCGGCCGCCTGCCTAACATCACCCCTCTTTTGGGAATCAGCATTAATCAGTAATGTCTAAATACTCTTTGAAAGTACATATGACTTGGAAAAATCACATTGGTACTTGCCCAGGCCAAGTTTGAACCCGCGCCCTCGGCAACGAGAGGCGGGCCCCTTAACCACTAGGCCACCACTGACTCAAGCCAAGAACTGTCTATACAGGAAAATGTGCAATATTAAGGCTATATTATTTGGACTGTATTGATTATGGATATTAGTGATGCCAACAGTTGTAACTCTTTTCGAATCATCTTTTCGAATTGGACGGGATCACTGATGAAATACATATGTCTATATTATATACAAGGAGTTTTATAAGAAATAAACACCTATTAAAATTATGGAAACAGAATTTTTATTCTGTGTCATCGCTCTATCTGTTGGTTGGGACTACTTAGCCAGTAAATTTCGGTTGGAATGTAAATCCCGAAGTAAATCAGGTATATGACTAGAAGAGACGAAACTTCTTAGCATTTAATGGATTCGTGATGCGGGTGCCGGATCCATCTCGTTGCAAGGAGCTTCAACAGTGCCTATGACGTGGAACTTAGAAGTAGGTACTAGTCTGTAAAGCATTATCTAACAACGGTTTAATTAATTCTTACAAATTACTTATATAACATATAGGTGCAACACCTCGACTTTTCGAGCTCTATAGCTTACAAATTTTAAAATCAATCATAAATCTTTTGTCATAAGACAAAGTAGTAAAAGTCCAATTCATTCAATCCTATATAGGCATACCAGGTAACATAAGAGCAGACCAATTGGTTCATGAAGGTAACTGCAATTGCAATATGATGTCCGTGGGCGACGGTGATTACTGATCATCAAGTAGGCCGTCTGTTCGTTTGCCACCTTTCGCAAAAAAAAAGGGTTTAGAAGTAGTCCTTGCAATGATTCAAAGTCATGTGGTATCGAACTATACAATTAGGCTAATAGATCATGAAAAATATTTTGTGAAACGAGATTTCGTCTGTCCGTGATCACGCTTGCTACAAAGTAACTACAAAAAAAGCGTAGTAATCCAAAAATATTAAATTCCTTTAAATAAATACTCACGAATATTTTATATCTCATTAGTACCTAGATAATGTCTTAGGTTAATAAGTGTACTATCAACTTTCGAAATGCTTAGCTTACTATTAAATGAATTCAGTTTCATGGTAGGCAAAGTCGGATCGCCCGTGAGGTATGCAACCAAATAGGTGATATATTATTACCTATTTTGCATAAATGCGTTCACAACACAGCCAAAATGAATTACTGTTTTTTCAAAACTTAAATTGTTCTCCGTCGCAAAAGGTTGAGGAACTGTTGCAATTAGTTTAAGATATATTTTTAAAATTTAGTTATAGTAAGTAAAATCTAATTACTGTAAATGTAAAAAATATATAAGTTTCAATGGAGCTGCTAAGATCAAGAACACATATAGTCTGTTTAAATATAAAAAAAGCTATTCCAGTTTGCTTCAAAATTAATCTAATTATTAGGTTATCATAATTCTATTATTAATTACAAAGTCTTTACCTTTATCTACATATAATGTTGATATTTTATATTTAGGTATAAAATTATAAACAAAGGTTTAATTCACAATACCTTCAATACAATGCATAGAACAGTTTCTGGATTACAGTAATGCCAATTAAATAGTTATTTAAGCAGTCAATATTATTTAAGAGTTTTGAGTTATATTCAATAATGACGACCGAAATATTCTCGAGCACTTTTCCTACAGACGATAATAATATACAAATCTCACAGACACAGCAATACAAATACTTTTAAGTGCTATCATTACTTAATTTCATCCCTACTAATATTATAAATGCGAAAGTAGCTCCGTCTGTCTGTCTGTTACGCTTTCATGCCTAAACCACTGAACTGATTTTAATGAAATTTGGTATTGAGATAAACTTGACCTTGAGCTTTCTCAATATACTATGTATGAAAACTATACTATGTTCTTTACATAGTATAGTTTTCATACCAGACTTTTGAAAGGTTCTCTTGGAAACGCGATATAACCGAACTCCACGGTGACGAAGCTGCGGGTGGAAAGCTAGTCATATATAATGTTACAATCATTGCCAAAAAAAAATCTTAAATAAAACAATCAATTTAGTTAGTAAAATTTATTATCTAAATCCATCTACATATCCCCTTCATCCGAGTCTTCAATGTCAGCGAGTGCTTGCTTGGCGAGGTTCTCAGCTTCAACAGCCATATCCTTTGGTACCAACTGATGACGGCCATTACTGTCTTTACAAACCCAGGATAATTCCAACTCGAACTGCTTGTCCTTTAATTCATCGTGGACTATGTAGATTCTGAAATATTTATTAAATATGTTAGAGAAATTCACATTTTAAATGATAATTTATTCTAAAACTGTAACTTATCTTTTATATTCTGTAAGTTATCTTTTAGCTTACTTTTATAATGTGATTTAATTTAGGTTTTGAATATTTATACGTAAATATGAGAAGTCCCAAGTACATATGTAATTATGTCCAATTGATTATCATATGAGTAATTAGTTTTGGGTTATAGCAGAAAATTTAGTTGTTAATATTTAATAGTTTTAAAATATTATATATATATCGGCACTACCAGCTTTAATAACGGGTGCGACATCTAAATAATTTGAGGCTGTCATCAATTCTTATTAAACCTCATTAGTATTTATGATTATTGTTAAAAGTAAAACGAAATCAAAGGTTGTTTAAAAGGAGAATAGAACTATGTTTAAATCTTGTTATAAATAGGACCTCTGGACGCACGACGGCAGACTTCAGAATTCAGAATATAGAATTCAAAGTTCAGTGAGTGCGTATCATTGAAGTATGTGATTATGAAGAACCTTCGAGAAATACAGATGCATTAAGAACAATTGAAGTTTCATTTTAAAATATCATGGAACGTTCTAGAAGAAGCGACATTAATTACGTCAGCGAGGCTGGCGTCCCTCTCTTTAAAAACAACGAATGTGTAATAAATCCGATATATACCTATTATGAGGAGAAAAATTATTCAATGATAAAAAATATATATGGATAGACAAAAAGAACCAATAGGGGCTCTTATAAAACTACTTTGATATCAAAAGATTTCTTCTGTTGAACAAATATGACAGGAACAAGATTAGATTAAGTGAATATAAGAACTTTTAATTTGCTTTTAAGATGATTTTAGTTATATTTGTTCAATAGTGAAACAATGCAGCAAACAGTAGTTAAGATGTATGTAATAATGCTTAGTAACTATAAAAAAGGCAATAAATCTTTTTGTTCATGGTTATGGCATAGATTTGGTAACAGCTTTGTAAGCAAAATACTTACTAAAAAAACCCAATGGTTATTAAAGTCATTATTATAATAGTTTTTGATTCAAACCCAGTTTACAATGTTTTTGTGAGTATACATTTAAAGAAGCTATATATTTTATGGAACATTAAAAATGCTAGGGAGATCATGATATTAATAAATAATTTAAAGTATATAGTTTATCCTATAATAATTTATATATTTTTAAGTGGGAAAAATCAAAAACAAGAAACAGTTTGCTCGAAATTTGAAAGAAAATGTTTTGAAATCAGATATGTAAGAGAATCCTAAAAATCTTATCTTGATAAAAATGTTTACACTATCATTATTTATTTATTAATACAATGGTAAATGTGAAAAAAACATTTTTCACTAGATGAGTATATTATAAAACACTGTCCTTAGCAAGATAATGTTCACTTGTACATTATATTTCACTATAACAAATACACCTTAATAGGATAATTTTTGGTGTAAATAGAATAATTTTAATAATAAACTCACATTCTAGCCGCTTCCTTTAGCAACTCCTTAACAGTTAAGTCGGCAAGTTTAAGTTTTTCGATTTCCGTCTTTGCAGCTTGCTTTGCCTTACCGACTGCACATCCAAAGTATGACTGAAATAATTAGTCAGAAATAAATATACAACTTTTAACATGACAATACAATAGTAATAAAATAGCTAGGTATTCAGTTTTAGATATACATCATAATAAAAATGTCTAAGAATTACCACATATCCCATTTTTAATACTAAATATTGTTATATGATCAAGAGTAAAAACTCACCACTGTATTAGGTTAAGAAGCAAAGCATAATGAGATTTAAGTTTCACAAGTTTTATTCATTTAAATGAAACTTATATTTTTGGATATACTATGCAGTTTATTTCTGTAACAACTACATACTGTCTGGGTTACTTTTCAGCAACCGTGACCATGGAGAGATGAGATGTGAAAGAAAAGCTTAGTGTAATCAAATTAATAAGTATATACTTACAAATGATACACCACTGGGTTCTAGCATATACATTTGGGGTCCTTCGTAGTCTGTCCAAGTACCCATTATTACCGAGCAACCATACGGACGTACAGCACTGTATAAAGTGTATGCATGCATATACATTGACACGCGTTCATTAAGATACTTCAAGGGTACTGGGACGCCATACTGAGATCTATAATTGGAGGCTTCGGATCTTGCCGTCTCTACGATTTGTCGTGCATCAGATATGAGACCGGCAACAGCCTGGAAGGATAATATTTGTTATGAGGTAAAGTTTTAAAAATTGTTCTCCGTCGCAAAAGGTTGAGGAACTGTTGCAATTATGTAGGTTAAGATATATTTTTAAAATTTAGTTATAGTAAGTAAAATATAATAACTGTAAATGCAAAAAGATATAAGTTTCAAGATAGCTGCTAAGACCAAGAACACATATAAAAAAGCTATTCCAGTTTACTTCAAAGATAATCCATTTATTAGGTTATCATAATTCTATTATCTACAAAGCCTTAACCTTTATCTACATATAATGTTGATGTTTTATATTTAGGTATAAAATTATAAACAAAGGTTTCATTCACAATACTTTCAATACAATGCATAGAACAGTTTCTGGATTACATTAGTGCCAATTAAATAGATATTTAACCAGTCAATATTAATTAAGAGTTTTGAGTTATATTCAATAATTACGACCGAAATATTCTCGAGCACTTTTCCAACAGACGATAATAATATACAAATCTCACAGACACAAGCAATCCAAATCCTTTTAAGTGCTATCATTACTTAATTTCATCCCTACTAATATTATAAATGCGAAAGTAGCTCCGTGTGTCTGTCTGTTACGCTTTCACGCCTAAACCACTGAACTGATTTTAAGGAAATTTGGTACTGAGATAGACTTGACCTTGAGAAAGAACATAGTACAGTTTTCATACCAGACTTTTGAAAGGTTCTCTTGGAAACGCGATATAACCGAACTCCACGGGGGCGAAGCTGCGGGTGGAAAGCTAATCATATATGTATAATGTTACTATCATTGCCAAAAAAAAAATCTTGAATAAAACAATCAATTTAGTTAGTAAAATTTATTATCTAAATCCATCTACATATCCCCTTCATCCGAGTCTTCAATGTCAGCGAGTGCTTGCTTAGCGAGGTTCTCAGCTTCGACAGCCATATCCTTTGGTACCAACTGATGACGGCCATTACTGTCTTTACAAACCCAGGATAATTCCAACTCGAACTGCTTGTCCTTTAATTCATCGTGGACTATGTAGATTCTGAAATATTTATTTAATATGTTAAACAAATTCACATTTTAAATGATAATTTATTCTAAAACTGTAACTTATCTTTTATATTCTGTATTACTTATCTTTTATCTTACTTTTATAATGTGATTTAATTTTGGTTTTGAATATATATACGTAAATATGAGAAGTCCCAAGTACATATGTAATTATGTCCAATTGATTATCATATGAGTAATTAGTTTTATTTATTTATTTATTTATTTAATACTTTTTGCACACCATAATCTCAATACAGACAATTACAAAAAAAAAAAAATACAAACTTAAAACTAACAGTGTAACAAAGGCGGCCTTATGGCTTATTAGCCATTTCTTCCAGGCAACCTGGCCAGTTTTGGGTGGGTTATAGCAGAAAATTTAGTTGTTAATATTTAATAGTTTTAAAATATATATATCGGCACTACCAGCTTTAATAACGGGTGCGACATCTAAATAATTTGAGGGTGTCATCAATTCTTATTAAACCTCATTAGTATTTATGATTATTGTTAAAAGTAAAACGGAATCAAAGGTTATTTAAAAGGATAATAGAACTATGTTTAAATCTTGTTATAAATATGACGTCTGGACGCACGACGGCAGACTTCAGAATTCAGAATTGAGAATTCAAAGTTCAGTGAGTGCGAATCATTGAAGTATGTGATTATGAAGAACCTTCGAGAAATACAGATGCATTAAGAACAATTGAAGTTTCATTTTAAAATATCATGGAACGTTCTAGAAGAAGTGACATTAGTTACGTCAGCGAGGCTGGCGTCCCTCTCTTTAAAAACAACGAATGTGTAATAAATCCGATATATACATATGAGGAGAAAAATTATTCAATGATAAAAAATATATATGGATAGACAAAATGAACTAATAGGGGCTCTTATAACACTACTTTGATATCAAAAGATTTCTTTTGTTGAACAAATACGACAGGACAGTGAACAAGATTAGATTAAGTGAATATAAGAACTTTTAGTTTGCTTTTAAGATGATTTTAGTTATATTTGTTCAATAGTGAAACAATGCAGCAAACAGTAGTTAAGAGGTATGTAATAATGCTTAGTAACTATAAAAAAGGCAATAAATCTATTTGTTCAGGGTTATGGCATAGATTTGGTAACAGCTTTGTAAGCAAAATACTTACTAAAAAACCCAATGGTTATTAAAGTCATTATTATAATAGATTTGATTCAAACACAGTTTACAATGTTTTTGTGAGTATACATTTAATGAAGCTATATATTTTATGGAACATTAAAAATGCTAGGGAGATCACGATATTAATAAATAATTTAAAGTATATAGTTTATCCTATAATAATATATATATTTTTAAGTTGAAAAAAATCAAAAACAAGAAACAGTTTGTTCCAAATTTGAAGCAAAATGTTTTGAAATGAGATGTAAGAGAATCCTAAAAACTTTATCTTGATTTTTCATCATTGATTCATTATTCCATTTCTATGTCTTTACATTAAAAAATGTTAACACTGTCATTATTAATTTATTAATAAAATGGTAAATGTGAAAAAAACATTTTTCACTAGATGTGTATGAGTGGATGAATCATAAAACACTGTCATCAGCAAAATAATGTTCATTAGTACATTATATTTCACTATAACAAATATACTATACACCTTAATAGGATAATTTTTTAGTTTAAATACAATAATTTTAATAATAAACTCACATTCTAGCCGCTTCTTTAACCAACTCCTTAACAGTTAAGTCGGCAAGTTTAAGTTTTTCGATTTCCGTCTTTGCAGCTTGCTTTGCCTTACCGACTGCACATCCAAAGTATGACTGAAATAATTAGTCAGAAATAAATATACAACTTTTAACATGACAATACAATAGTAATAAAATAGCTAGGTATTCAGTTTTAGATATACATCATAATCAAAATGTCTATGAATTACCACATATCCCATTTTTAATACTAAATATTGTTATATGATCAAGAGTAAAAACTAACCACTATATTAGGTTAAGAAGCAAAGCATAATGAGATCTAAGTTTCACAAGTTTTATTCATTTAAATGAAACTTATATTTTTAGATATACTAAGCGTTTTATTTCTGTAACAAACGACATACTCCCGACCTTTCAGATACTTTTCAGCAACCGTGATCATGGAGAGATGAGATGTGAAAGGAAAGCTTAGTGTAATCAAATTAATAAGTATATACTTACAAATGATACACCACTGGGTTCTAGCATATACATTTGGGGTCCTTCGTAGTCTGTCCAAGTACCCATTATTACCGAGCAACCATACGGACGTACAGCACTGTATAAAGTGTATGCATGCATATACATTGACACGCGTTCATTAAGATACTTCAAGGGTACTGGGACGCCATACTGAGATCTATAATTGGAGGCTTCGGATCTTGCCGTCTCTACGATTTGTCGTGCATCAGATATAAGACCGGCAACAGCCTGGAAGGATAATATTTATTATGAGGTAAAATTTTCTTAATTTAGGATAAGTGTATTTTTGTGCCAATATTATACAAGGGGTATCGCTTTATTAAATAAAAACTTCAGGAAAGAAAACTGAACAAATATCTCGTCTTAAAGCTGCTGTTAAGAATTCACAGTAATTAATGCTGAATTGCAAATTGGTCAATCTTATTACATATATTACCTATAAAGTACTCTATGTTATAATAAAAAATTAAACATACCATGCCAACATGTTCATCTACATGGAAAATCCTCTTATTTGCACCTGGTTCATAAAGTTTAGAAGAAACAAGTTTTTCGACTGCAAAAACTACACCATCCTTTCCTCGTAAGCCTATGACTGTGCCGGAGTTTTCTACGGCCTTAGCAGCGTATTCCACTTGAAATACTCTGCCATCAGGCGAAAATTGTGATGCCGATAGATCGTACTGCAACAATGAATTTGCAGTTTTAATAAAATAACAACCTACACTAAATTAATGTAGGTTAGTATAATAATACAGTAAAATATATTTTAGAGAAAGGAAATTGTTATTCTTTCTAAAGAAAAGTAAAATAAGGAATAATAAACGAATGAAGGTGTCCTAAAGACCAAGTTCTACTTACACCGGTTCCGATAGAGCTCATATTTATTAAGGTTCTTAAGACGTCCTACCAATGTTTAAAGAATTATACACAAAATAAAAAAATTATAGTAAGTATTAGTTTTCCGATTTATTCATCGAAATGAGCTGTTAAAAACTTTGTATAGCGCCGACGATGACAAGCAACTCATGTTGGTCACAGATAAAATATTATCAAAAGAACAAGTACGATTAACAATTCGTGTCATTTATATTTAAAATTATTTAAAATCAAATTATACCTTTTTTAGTAATTTAAAAAACTTTCTGATTTATTTTTTTTATTTCTTTATTTTTATCTATAATTTAATATCGCGCTAATTTTTCAATACGTCACTAGGTGGCGATCATTGTTTCGTACTGAAATGCTATAGCTATCACAAAAACTTTTATCTTGTACCGTTAGATGGCTCTTGTGTAAAAACTGGATAGAATGTCTGGAAAACTTGAAGTGGCTTAATTTACATATTATAATGACATTATAAATTAGGGTGTCCATTAATTTATATTATAAACATGAAATTAAAAACCAAGTCACATTCGTATATTAGGTATAATTGTTAAATTATTTACCGGACAAAAAAAATACTTTTAACCAAGTCAAAAACAATATAAAATTATTGCAGTATTGCAACAGTTCTAAATTCAAGAGTACCTATGACAAAATTCTAAAGTGTAGGACAAATTTTATACTTATAAAAAAGCAGTATAAATCTAAGAATTTTGAATTTTAATCATTTTAATTTTCATTATTAGTATAATTTGATATTACTATTATAAAAAAATATAGAAGATTATGAATTTATATATTACACATAGACACAAATAATTAGTTGTTAAGCAATTTTCAATTATAGCAAACAATTCAGTTATTAAATTATTTTATTAGAATACATATTAAAGTCGAGAGAATCCCACCATTATAATTATCAGCTGCAAAAAAACTAAGAGGTTTTGATACATGAGATCATTCAATTGAATGAAGAATTCTTCAGAATGTGAATTTTTAAGAAACTCAATGCCGCGACTTTGGCTGGATACTAGTTTATTTATCCCTTTCGATGAATCATCTGCATGAATTTAGTTTCGTGTAGGTACAGGATTTTATACGACAAAATGAGCCTTTGATATAAGTATAGCTTTTTTGGAGTCGGATAAAAATTTACAAATAATTTCTCTGGCTAAAGCTATAGTTAAACTTACTCCTCTTAAATAAAAGAATAAATGATTTTGAAAGCATTTTTTGTTTTGGGAATTAGAAATAAAAGTTATTAATAATTTTAATATAAGACAACAATTTTATTACATAATTTTCTACAGGTTATTATGTAAAACCTTCAAAATATTGTTTGTAGTTAACCACTCACAACAAGAAAGGTCTTAAAGGAAGATAGGCATAATTTAAAGTAACAAATATTAGGTAGTTCTCTCGCAGAACTAGGTTCATGAAGAAAAATATGAGTTCCCGGTATGCGACACATAATTTATTATCACTCACTCTTATATGCAGTGGAATAATCAAACGTACATAAACCGCTAAGGGTACGGGGACGATACAAAGACCGAAATTTTGAAGAAGCAGAAGCTGATTACCATGTCAAAAGAATTTACGATCAGCCTGTTTACACGTTCGCGCTATCTGCCATAAACCCCGAAAACCTGCACTAACTTTATTATGAAATCCACACTCGAGGGCGAGATTTCAAAGTCCCTGTTGAGATGTCGCTAAAATTTTTCGACGTCTCCCAAAATTCAAAGGGTCTTACATCACCGGCATACAAGTTTCTATTCAATAGCAAGGAATACGTTACGACGAAGTATTCCAAGAACCGTTAATTTAGCGACGCTATTTCTTTCCTTTCAGCTTTTATGTATTTATTTTAGGCTTCACCAAATAATAGGATAATGAGATTAAAGTTAAATATTTGAATTTAGAACAGAAAACTTTATCAAACGAATTTAGTCAAAATACAGAAAAACACGAGTGAAATAGTCGTAAAATAAATTATAATCAATGAAAATGTTCCTTAATATGAAATACTATAGAGTTAGCATATCCATCTACTTATGCTAAATACTAGTAAATAAACGTGGATTCTATATTATAAGATTATATGGATAATGTACAGACTTAAGTATTTGAGTTTATGTGATTGCCAAACTGATTGCTATCTGGAGTAATACAGCCGGTATTGCTGTAATTCCGACTCACTACCGATAGTGAAATGTAAGCAAACAACGCCTTTGAAAGGGTAGGGCGTAACTTCTAAGCAATATAAAACAAAATGATCCTTGCTGAGGCAAATGTACAATATATAGGAAACGTTCCCGAAAAGAAATCTATTACCATAAAAAATATTTGGATTCAAAGATAAAAGTTTATTATTATGTATGTCATTTTAGAATAATTGTGTCTGCAATATATTTAAATCTCATTTTTGTTTATGCAATTAATATTTTATTAATTATTGTCACATAATTAGACCTTCTAAATCGAAGTAAAGACGAATATCGTCCAAAAGAAGTAAAGATATTGTTTATTGGTGAAATATAGAATACATATAAGTATATATTATTCACAAATATACTTATAAAAATCTCGTGTTTAGGAGACGTTCTTGCAAAGATTTTTTATATTTTGGAACTAGCAGACTATACTGATAGTGGCTATAAAAACTGAATTATTATTATCCCTTCTAGCTGTTTTTAAATTGAGCGGAAATTCACTGAAATCGACATAAACATTTTCTGGCCTGTTTAAGTCCGGATGTCAGCTTTATATTAAGTAAATATTCAAGTAATTGTGTTGTCTAAAAACGCAAAGATAAATTTTTTGGGCCGGTCCTCATCCTGCATACGAAATGAGGAACGAGATTATTATTTGCTTAGCCTGACATCGTAATTAACGTGACTTTTGTTTTTTCTTTGTCCGCTTTCGAAATGAAGCCTCGGATACGAAGCATTTTTAGCTGTCTTAAAAAATACATATAAATACTTATTATATGAATTGTATTTTATGTTTCATAAAAATATATCTTTTTCTATAATGGACAGTGCTTTTGTCTCAATATCATAATGTTTAATGCAAATAACATTGCGTAACAAATCTCTTTATTTGGTAAATAATTATTGTAATGGGCAACCAAATAAACTATTTCTAAAGTGACCAAATTCGTACAAAAGAACAGAACAATAGTGATTTCAAATTAAATGTATTGTGACATCCTATTACTTAGTGTTGTTTTAGATTCAAAGTAAAAAGAAGTAGGAATAACTCAAAACTTTGTACAATTATGTCATTAGGACGTCAAAAGGAAAGTCGAAATAAGTTTGTAAAGTCACGGAATTGTTCAATATTCGACATTGTTTCCTAGGAAATAAGTCTTAAATTAGTTATATTTATATCTCGTTTATAGTTATATATCTATTTTGTAATATTTACCTTCAAATACAGCATTTATTTTATGAATACGTATGCTGGGTAGAAAAATGTATAAATAATAGTACTTCAAGGAAAGTCGTTGCAGAGTTTGACGATATAGTGAAACATTCTATTCCTTTGTGGAACTTTAACTAGAACAACTATGTAACTATTGAAGCAAACTTAGAGAGGACTTTGCCGGTCACAAAAGCACTATTATAGGTTTTCGATTTCCCTCATAGCGTTTGTATTTCAACTTCACTTATAATAGTATCATAAATTTAAATCACATCAATTAATTTGATACCACAGGCTGGTGCAAGTTATTCGCATCTATATTGCAGGGAATACTAAATATATGACCATTTAATTTCAATTCTTAACATGAGAACAATTAAATAGTATATATTATTCTGTTTTAGATACATACTTATGTAATTTATTTATTGTTAAATACATAATCATTTCTCTATAACTATGTTACAGTATATACTGGATTTTGCGTAATAATAAAAAGTAGTTGATGTCATATTTTCAGCATAAAAATGAAATCAAGAATAGAAACAGTAACGTATTTTTCAGGAATTCACATACATTGTTGTAAAAGGGGCCACTTAAAATAATCTGTGTCATAAAATGCGAACTTTTCATTAGGTACTCACCGTTGACTGTGGAGAAATGGGCCAATTTTAGTGCGGAAATTTTAACGATTTTTATTTTCATTGCATAATACTTATGCTGGAAACGGTAAAAACTTTCGAACTTCTTGAATTGCACACTTACCAGGTAATGAATGTGTGGAATATACTTCCCATTTATTCTACAATATATGATAAGGTAATTAAAATGTCAAAATATATAGTACTAAATAAATTCTCAGAACGATTAACACATCAATAAAAATATTTGAATACGCTAAAGGGATTTTCGATTGCGTCACGCGCAATTTAACCTCGAAACGCAATAAAATATCCATTAATTTTGAAGATGGCCATTTTCCACTACGCTGAGCTTGATTTTTGGGGAGTACGTGTATTTCTACTTTGATATTTTAAGAAATCACTATCTAGTATTAAGTTAAGGCATAATGTGAGATTTTCTTTCTCTTTTTAATTTAATTATGTGTATAATAAAATATATATCGGCGCTACCAGCTTTAATAACGGATGCAACTTGAAAATAATTTGAGGCTGTCATCTATTCTTATTAAAACCTCATTAGTATTTATGATTATTGTTAAAAGTAAAACGAAATCAAAGGAGATTAGAACTATGTTTGAATCTTGTTATAAATATGACGTCTGGATGCACGACGGCGGACTCCAGATTTGAGAATTCAGAATGGACAATTCAGAGTTCAGTGAGTGCGTATCATTGAAGTATGTTATTATGAAGAATCTTTGAGAAATACAGGAGCATTAAGATCAATTGCAGTTTCATTTTAAAATATCATCGAATGCTCTAGAAGAAGTGACATTTGTAACGTCAGCGAGGCTGGCGTCTCTCTCTTATAAAACAACTAATTTGTAATAAATCCGATATATATATTAAGCTTGTAAATGGACCATGTAAATTCGTACAATT